TTGGATAAATGTGTCTAACATCTCCTCATGCTCTTCTTCTGCTGCTGAAGTCCCTTGCAGGAGCTGGCCATGCAATTATTTCCATTCCCTGATTGAGTTATGGCAATTAGTAATATCATTACTGTAGGACAGAAGCTCCAGTAAAGAACTGAGACCTCTAATAATCAGGTTTCATACAAATAAAGAGCAAGAAGTGACAATCTAGGTATAACTCCTGGAAGCAGGAATAAATCTTTAAAAAAAAGATCTCTGGGGCTTTGAATCAATCCCTCAGGGAGAGAAAGCAGTTGAGAGAGAGCTTGCAAAAAAAAAAATTGTGAATTTGTGAACTTGGAAATGTCACGCAATTTTCTGTTGAAGCTATGCCTCAATGCTGTTGTTAACATGTCACTGTAACACCTGCTGGCCCTGATTAGGATTCCTCTGGGATGGTATAATCACAGAGCACAATGTGGCCGCAAAGAAATTACAGCTCATGATCTGCAACATATAAAGGGGCAATAATAATAGACTCAACCAGATTTATGCTGGGTTATCCATACATATGGCCTGTATGGATGCTTTTGTGTCTTCATTTACTATTTTGATTTAGCTCTGTAAACACCAGTGCTCCCTCACAACTCTGAGCCTGGCCATTAGAAGTTGGCTGCTCTTGTGTCATTGAAGAAGATCTCAAATAGGGATTTGAAATAGGAGAAAATAACAGCTTAGACTTAGGCTACTGTAAGCTGGGCTGGCTGAGGGGCAAATTTACATTTAGATTGAGCCTCTTCACATCTTCTCTAAGTAATTGTAAACTCTCTTGTGCCTCAGCTCAAGAAAAGAATTTAGGCAGTCCTGCACTGCCAAAAACTGTCTTAGGCTTTGTAAGATGTGTGATAGCTAATCTAAGTAGTCAGGCTTAGCATCCACTTTTCATAATTATTTGTGCAAATACTGCTCAGTTATCAAATGTCAGCATTAATCAGACAAAGGATATCAGCATTGCCAAAATAAACATGTTGTAAAACTGTTGTGTCTGATTATTTGTATTATTCAACCAACACCCAGATGTCCTATTATGTTAAGAGCTACACAAGCATATAAGCAACCATTCCACCAGGAGGGAGTGCATGACTAATTTACGATAAGAGAAAACAATTGGACATTACAAGCAAGTAAAAAGAAAGAGAGAGGAGAATTAGGGGCTCATAGTAGTCTGTGACTGTATTTTCCTATAAGACCCAATAATGAGTTTTAAGTAAAGGAAAGAAAAATGTTTTGATATAAATAAATAAGTAATATAATACCAGTAATTCTTACCAGGCATTCGCCTAGCCCAGTGGAGATTTCTGTGGTATGTACTTAGCTTTCATATTAGGGCCTTATCCTCATCCACGCCATGCCTGTTTACACCGTCCTCCTAGGGGTCTCCAATAGGCATTGCACTGCAGCAGAGACAGAGGAACACAGCCAAAATCCTACAGCTGGCCTCATACCACACAAATCTGCCATCTGCACCCAGCCAGCCACATACCCAGGGAGGGCTGCAGGGGCTGCATTTCTTTGTTATTAAATGTCTTATACTGCCAGCACAGTATAAAGGGATCTTGATGTGACTGAGCATTCCTCTCCCTCTAATGTGTTCTGCTGCAGCATGCTTCCAGTGCCACACCCCCACTTTGTTTGAGCATTAATGCGAATAAATCACTTTATTAAGGTGCCTGGTTGAACTGGTGCTGCCCAGGACAGAGAACATCACTGTATGCTGCAATGAGAAGGTGCACAGAACAAAAAGACACACAGCTTTTACAGAGGTATCTGCTCTCCAGTCTCCTTTCCAATCTGAGGTCACCCTGCCTTGTCATGGGCTTTTCATTACTCTCAGTTTGTCAAGGGCACCTCCTCTGAAGCCAGAATGAGTTTTAGTCCTCTTTGCCTGCAGGAGCTTGTGGTCGGTGATGCACAGTGATACAAAAGATATCTCAAACGTAAAACATTTAGCAGTTGAAACGAAGTGTTTAGTGAGGGAGAAAAAGACAAGTAAGATAGAAAAAATAGATATTTATTAATGTATTTGCAATGTAAAATTTACAAGGTAACCACAGGAAACTGGGCTCTGTCAGGCACTTAAATGTCTCAGATTAATTCTCCCAGACAATTCCCAGCCTTTTGTGAATGTGCTCCTTTTTTCACATCCCTAATTCTTTGCCCCTCCAGTGCAAAGAAGCCTGGCAGTGTCCCTCAGCTATTGTTTGTAGAAAAGTGGCTTATCTTGAGCCATACTTTTCCTTTCATTTTCCTTTTGAATTGAACCATTCTGTTCATGGGGCAAAGTCAAAACAGGCTGCTCATAAATTATCACAGAGCAGTTCCTCTTTCATCACAGGCATAAACACTTTGCAAATCTAGTAGGTGAAGCTGGAATTCCCATCTATTCTTGGAATTTATAGCCAAAACCAAGTGAGAGGAGTGACATAATAGTGCAAAACAACTGTTCTGATATCTCCCATGTAGGGCAACATCTATAATATTTTGTGCTTCCATAATAATTACTATTTCTCATTATGAAACAGAGCACTTGCCATCTCTCACTTTCTTTCACTCTCTTTTACATTTCCATAAAGGAGAATTCCTTGAACTGCTCAGCAGTGTACTGACAAAAAAAAAAATTAAAATCATTTAAAAAACAACAACAACAACTATGAGCATAACAGCTCCATAGGGAACACTGATAATATGCGATGACCTGATAGGAATGCAATGTCATTAAAATGTAACAGTAGTGTGTATTTTATAAGCCATTTTTCTAGATCAACTGAGCCACTTCATATTGCTTCTATACACTGATTGACTCACCCAAACAAGTAAATTACTACTGCTTTACCCCGAGGGAGAATAAGGGGACTTACACCTGCGAGTGAGTTTGTTGTTTGTCTCTCCCCAAAGTGTTTTCTGTATTTTTTAAAGGACTTGGCCCCACGAAGTGCTGCCGGTGGCTGTAGTAGATGGACATACCGGCAGCAGCCAGTGCCATCTTTGCCGCAATGGGTGCTTTGCCGTGTGACCTGGAAGGCACACTTGGATGCGGGAATACAGCCGTCTGGCAGCGAGGCCAACGGCGGGGGGGAAATAAAGAGCACTAAAAAAAGTGGAATTTCCAAGAGATTAAAAAAATAAACCACCCAACACAGCTTGGCATCACCGCTGGGTGCCCCGGAGCAGAGCTTTCATCTCCTGCCCACTCGCGGAAGGACCACACCGCCCTGTCGAGGAGATGTGTCCTCTGGGGACGGGGAGGGACTGGCTTTCTCTCGGGGCTGGAGCTGCCCTCGCCCCCTGCTCCGCCGACATCCCGCCCATCACCGCTCTCCCGGCTGGTGCTCCCCGGGGCGCTGTCGTGGAGCTGCTCCCAATTCCTGAAGGTTTTTTTTCACCTCTGCAGCCTTTACAAAGTAAGAACTACCTGTTGCATACTCATGCGGCAGCGCTATTCCTCAGGATAAATCAGTGTTCCCCTCGTTCCCCAGCGGTCCTGTCTCTTCCTCCGGGCAACGTGGCCTGGCTCCGGCCCCGGCCTGGCACTGCCCGGTCTCGCCTTGGCCACCCGCCCCGAGGTGCCCGCTGCCCTCGGGCTCCAGCAGACCTTGGGGCTTTTGCCTTTTAGGGGCAATGCCTTCAGCCCAGATGAGATGAGAGGGGTACCCGGAGCCCCGCAGGATGCTGCCCAGTCTCCCATGCCCCCCAAAACGTCCGGCACTCTCCTCCCCCGAGCGCGCTGCAGACCCCGGCATCCAGACGTGGATGATCCGCGCCTCCCAAGGACTTCAGAAGCGAAGCACGCATTTGCTTTCGGGTGACAGATAAGGCAGCCACCGCGGCTACTCCAAGGTCCGCTGTGTCCCAGCTAAGAGTCGCAAACATCCCGGCCGCTGCGGCTCTGCTCTCCCCATTAAGGCTGTGCCTCTTTCCCATGCCCAAGCCTCTCCTCCCTTACATTTACTCTCCGGGTGCTTTGCAAATGTAAGGGCTGCAATTTCACAGTCCCGCACCCCAAAAGGACGGTTCCGTGCCTTTTGTAGTTCAGTCAGAGCCAGGAAGTTGCCGATATCCTCGGATACTCGACTCTGCCTGTAGGTGAACCTGTGTCTGCCTTGAGCAGGGAGATAATGCGGTGGCTGTTGTTTTGCTGCTGCCGGTCCCTGGAGAGACCGTTTCCATGAAGTCTTAGCTCGGGGGGAAAAAAACCAAAACAACCAAAACGGGCAACGCTATATAGCTCATGACTGGAAAAACAAAATTTCTCCCCAAATGAGGCTTTCTGATAGGAAGAGGCTGGCAGAGGCGTCCCTATAATAAAGCGTGCGAGGAAAGTAGTTTGCCGGGCGGAGGAGAGCTGCTGGCTGGCTGTCAGAGGGGGCGGATCCTGCGCACGGGCGGGCAGCGCCGAGCCGGAGCGGCCCCGGCAGCAGCGGGGCTATTTCAGGAGCCGGGCGGAGGCGGCGGCTGGAGCCGGGGCAGGGATGGGGTTAGCCGCGCCGGTGGGCTGAGCGGGGGGCTTGCTAGCGGAGGCGAAGGCAGCCGGGAAAACACGCCTTAGCCTCGGATTGAGGGAGAAAGGATCGGTTTTTTGGGCTGCATCACAACTTGAGCAGCATCCAGCTGAGCTAGGCGGAGAGGGGAGCGGGAGGGGAAGAAGAAGGAGGAGAAGAAGGAGGAGGAGACGGCTGTCACCGGCGGATTTGGTCTCGATTTATTGAAACAAATCAGTGCTCGGGAGAGAGCGGCGAGGAGGAGGAGGAGGAGGAGGAGAAGGTGGGGGTGGGGGGACAGGAAGAGGGGGATCGAGAAAGAAAAGTGTGAGGGCTGTGGCTGGGAGAAGCAGAAGTGATGAGAGAGCGAGCAGGGAGGCTGGAGGAGGCTGCCCGTCCTGTCGCCGCGCCCCGCGGGCACCGCCGCTCCTGCCGCCGCCGGGCGCCCCCGCGGCCGCCGCTGCCACCCCGCCGCCCCCGGCCCGCGCCATGGAGGCGCTGAACGGCCCCGCACCGGGGCCCGGCGAAGCGCTGCGGCCGCCGCCGCCCTCGCCCGGCCACCACCACCCGCACGCCGAGAAGAAGCGGCCGCACCGCGCCCCGTCGCCCGCCAGACCCTTCCTCAAGGACCTGCACGCCCGCGCCGCCGCCAAGCCGCCGCCCGCGCCCCCCAAGTCCCCCGGCCTCCCCGCCCGGGCGCCCTCGTCGCCGCACCCGGGCGCGCACCAGCCCTCGGCGGGGCTGCTGTCGGCGCCGGGCCGCCTCTCCCGCCGCCCCGCCGCCCCGGGGGGCAAGGCGGCCGCCGTCCCCGTCACGGCCGTCGGCAGGGCGGGTGCCAAGGCCGCCCCCTGCGCCAAGCGGGCGGCCCGCGGTCCGGAGCCGGGGCCCGGCGGCCGGGGCGCGGGGCGGCAGCCCGGCGGGGAGGCGGCCCCGCCGCCCCGCCGCCCCGGGGGGCAAGGCGGCCGCCGTCCCCGTCACGGCCGTCGGCAGGGCGGGTGCCAAGGCCGCCCCCTGCGCCAAGCGGGCGGCCCGCGGTCCGGAGCCGGGGCCCGGCGGCCGGGGCGCGGGGCGGCAGCCCGGCGGGGAGGCGGCCCCGCCGCCCGGCAAGGGCAGGAAGGCGAAGCGGGGAGCGGCGGCGGGCAGCGGCCATGCGGCGGCGGCGCTGGCCCGCGTTGGCCACACGGACAGCAGCTCCGACCTCTCCGACTGCCCCTCCGAGCCGCTCTCCGACGAGCAGCGCCTGGCCCCGGCCGCCAGCAGCGACGCCGAGTCCGGCACCGGCTCCAGCGACCGGGAGCGGGAGCAGCCCGCCGCTCATCCCGCCGCCCATCCCGCCGCCGAGCAGCCCCGCACCGGCCCCGGCCCCGGGCGCGGAGCTCCGGCGGCCCTCAGCTCCCGCGGGGATGCGCTCCCTGCGGCCACGGGCGGGGCGAGAGCCCCGAGCCGCGGGGAGCCGCCGCCGGCAGCCCCGGAGGAGCTGCAGCGGGAGGTGGAGGAGCTGCGCTCGGAGAACGAGTACCTCAAGGTGAGCATCGCCCGCGGCAGGGATGGGAAGGGCAGGAGGCGGCAGCGGTGGAAACGCGGCCCCCTCCTGCCCGGGAATGCGGGGACCGCGCTGGAAGGGGGGAAGGATATTCGCGCTGCCTGGAGTCACCTCCCATGGGACCCCTGCCCCCGCTGGACCAAATGCCGAATTTTACCCGCAGGAGGGAAATAGGGGCAGGCAGAACCAGCCGGGACCCTCGGCACCCTCCTCCCCCGCCCCCCCGAAGCGGGAGCGCGGCGCGGCTTGAGGACAGCTAAGGGACATCAGGGAATGATCGCGGCTCCCTGCAAAGCCCGATTTGTGGGCGCTGGATGAACGTCAGTCCCATGCAACATGTACCGTGGCAATGTTGCGTTTAGTTGACGTGGTGGTAGCTCAACAAACCCCGACTCTTTCTAAAGCACCGCCAACATCCTACTGGTTAGCAGAACTTTGCTTTCCAGGAACTGTTTTCCTCAGTATCACCCTTTGGGAAAAGCCAAAGGAACAGGTTCCCTCATTTGATGTGGAAAGGATGACAGCATTATGTGCTCTGATTATTGTGGTGCTTTATCACTGGAAAGTGAAGCCACTCGCTGTGAAGTACTAATAGAACAACAAGAGCAGCAAGAAAGGAGTGTCATTACATCCTTGTACAGGTAGAAAACTATATCGGTAGGAATCCTCAGAGAAACAGGAAAGCTAAATTCAGGCGAGCTCTGAGCAGGGTTGACCTGTGGGAATCTTTAGTTGGACTTGTGCTTACAATCTGATCTTTTGGCAGAGCAAAGAAGCTGCATCCATAAAGATCTATAAATAAGATAAACTGAGATAATCCTGTAACCACAGCCACTGTTTGACTCTGCCTCTGGTGAAAACAATCTTTGTTCCCTGTTATTTGGACTCCCTGTTGTCAAGCAAAATAACCATGGAAATCCATGTAAATCTAGGATTCTTACTCAAATAAGAACTGCAGTTTTGTGTATAACCTTGGGAAACAAGAGTGATAAAGATACAGGCTAGGCTCGTTAAGGGGTTTTGGCCAAGGTACACGAAACAATATTCAGCATAGCAAAAGGGTAACAGCAGGGGTGCTGCAAGGTTCTTTGCCAGGTCTGGTGCTGCTTAGTGAACTGGAAAAAGGAACGAGCAATGATACAGCAAAATTTTCAGATGACATTAAGTTTTTCTAGCTTAAGTCAAGTCCGGCAAAGATCAGACAGAGCTTAATCATAAAGTTAACCCCTGAGGAACGTGTGAAAAATGAAGGCAGAGGATGGTAAATAAATCTTAATATTCAAAATCTTAACTACTTGGAGGGAATAAGTATGCACTTTTCTGTTTAAGTATACTGTGTTAACTCAGGAGCATCACGAGAGAAGGAGAAATGAAAATCTGCAAAAATTGTTAGATTACAGTAGGAACTGAACAGAGACTAAGAAAGTCTGGCAATATTTTATAGAACTGTAGCTGTTACACAGGTCAGTGAGTGTACCTGAAATACTGTGGGCACTGCTGGTCATCTAGAAAAGGATAGTACAAAACCAGACCAATAAAAATTATTGGCTTGTAGCAAAGCTTTTATAGCACTCACTAGATGGAAAACTCGAGTGTGGTAGGGAAATGTAATAGTCTATAAAAAGATGAGCAGCACAGAGAACCTTTATCACAAGCTTCTCTTTTATTTGACAGCCTGGAAGCAAAAGGAGATGTAGTGAAATCAGAATTGATAATGGGAATCACTTAAGGAGTAGCTAACTGGCACTGCCATTAGAAGTCATGAAGTCCAAGAGCATCTCTTTGCATTACAGGGCTTGAACAAGTGTATGAGTATTATATACTTAAACCCATTACAAAGTGTGTCAAGCTCTCTTTCTTTGTAGTGAAAGTGATTTTTACCTATGGGAAACTGGGAGAAAAAAAGAGTATGTTTGAATTGTCTAGGACAGACCTTTGTTTTTGTGTCTCACCTGAGGAACCCTGTGATCATGGGACCTAGTTGACAATGGCAAGTCTTAGGTGAAGAACTTTATTTTGCTTCATTCCCAATTTTTCACCCTGTGCAACGTCTTCAGATCTTTCACCTTAAAGTCTTCATCATCTACAGCAGTTATTTCCTCTTTTTCCCCTTTTTTGATTCAGATTGTGACTTTATCATGTTAAAAGTATTTCTGAGTCTGGTAGGATAATGCAGACTGGTTTCTTTGGTGGGCATGTCCTGGTGCCTGGAAAGCCATGAGCTAACACTATTGCCTCTTCTGAGGGAAATGAATACTTTGTCTGCTTTGCTTGGTCACCTTGGTGCGCGAGGTCTTAGTTCTGTTCCTCTCTCAAAATGGCTGGAAACAGCCCAGTGATGCAAAAATTATCAGGAGAATTCCCAAACCTCATTTGCTTTTCCTAGGAGAACCTATAAAAAATTCTGTAAATTAAAACCACATCACTGTCTGAGTTGTTTACTTGTGGGTTTGTTCCATGTGTTTTTTCCAAAGCAGTTCCCTTGGTTGGCATTGGAGTGAGCTGTGTTTCTCCAGAGGGGGCTAAGGGATAACAGGGATGCTGTCAACTGTAAATAGACAAATTATTAGATAAATCCCAGAAGAAACTGTTAATTTCCTGAGCATGGCCACAAGCCAAATTTTGTGGGTTTCACTCCTCCTTATCCCTCCCTGCAGCTGGAGTGCAGCCCTAAGTGCACATAATGAAGTCTTTTTCAGGGAATTTTATCTTTCACATAGGAAGGTTTTTCATGTAACTTTCATGTGTCTGTAACACAGGTTATAGAAGATACACACACACACATACACAGAGACTTGGTGCTAAAGATTACTAGAGGTTAAAGTGTTACCAGAAGGAAAAATCCAAAACAAACCCAATCATTTGTTTTTGTTTCTACACACTAAGTACTAGAAAGTCTCCCAGAATGCAGAGCAAGCTGCTGCTTCTGCAAACATCTCAGACTTCTTATATCATGAGCCAGATTTTAACTCGTATCAAGTTTCCACCTTATGTATTTTCAGGGCTTTACCCTAGGTAAGAATTTGGCTCTAGCCATAGCTAACTAGCTGCAAAGCTAAGCCTGTAGGTGAAGTGCATGAGGAGACGTGTTTACACTGAGAAGCCTCTCTTCTACTACCTCTGTGAAGTTTCATCACTGATTTCAGTTTCATATATTCCTTGCATGACCTTATTTCAGCAACCTGTGGGGGAAGACTAATACTACAGCAGCATTTTAAAATATATCACTTAGTTGTTGATGTCTAAAAAGAGAAATTTTGTCATGGTGCCTGACTCTGCAGGACCAGGAGATCTTGGTAACTGCTGGTAGTAAATAAAATTTTAGTTATTGCTCATCAGTCCTGTTAGTAGTAGCAAAACACTGCCCACACAAGTGGTTGATTTTCAAGTTTGCTTTAAAGTGTCCGACACACAGAGAAGTGTCATTCAGCATGCAAGTCCTTGGGAAAGTCAGAAAGAAACCCTTTGTGGTGTAGAGCCCTCTGAAGGGTGAGGAATCTTAAGAGAAAGGGCTGAAATGTTTGCAATTAGAGATGTTTTTGATTTGTCTCAGCCCAGCTTTAGTTAAGACTGTGTTAATTAACTAAGTGTGGTGGCAGAAACAGCAGCGGTGTTTTAGTCACAACACACACCCCTTTTCCCTTTGCACCCTTCGTGGCCCTAATGTGAAAGCCGCCTCCTACACGAGGCATGACGCTTCCTACAGCCCTTAAAATAAACCTGGTGCTTGCTGTGCTTTTCTTTACCTGCCCTTCTCTTGGTGACTGTGTTGTACAAGTTCAATATGCTGGGAATACTGCTGCAGTGTGGATTAGCACAGACAATATACTATCTTGGATTTATTAGATAACTGGCTTTTTTGTCTTGCTTTGTCTTTTTTTCTTTCTGCATTCATTTGTAACTGTGACATATTCTGGATATGAATTGACTAAGGGACCACTGCAGGCCCCGTATTCCACTCTGATGCATCTAAACTATGTTCATTTTTGTTTAAAATCACAATGTGTGTCACATGAGGTTACATTGTGTTTCTTTACTCACTTGAAACTGTAGCTCTTTGAGTTGCAGCCTTGCGCGGAACTCAGGGGCAGTAATTCCACCGCTTCTTTTATTAACCTGCAGGGATTTGTGCATGTCAAAGGGTTTTGCTGGGCAAAAATGATGCACAGTGACAGGACCAGTTTTTTCCCATTTAGCGAGGGTTGCCAGGGTTAGCAGGATAAAGCTCATCGCGCATCCCTGCTCGGTGCTGCTTTTCCCACCTGGAGAGCATGGAAGGTGGCAGCCCTGCCCGGGGCACGGACCCCAGGTGGCTGGGGGTCAGCAGCCTAGCAGGGTGTCACTTTGGGGGGACAATAGCGAGGCCATGTGCCTGGCTAGCTCCAGCTGGGTCCTGGCAGCCCCACCCTTGCCTGGAGGGGGTGAGCTCTGTGCTGCGCCGGGTTTGCCTCGGTGGCAGTCAAGAAATGCTATTGCTGATGCCATTGATGAGTGCTCCAACAGCTTCAGCAGCCCCAGTCAAGGATATGTGTCGGAACAATACTGTAGCTAATGCTTGAATGAGGCAGAAAAGCTGCCAGATGCTGCTCTCAGATCCTGCCAAGTTAAACCAGCCCTCGAGTCAACAGGTGTTCACGGTCCTATGACTTTTCAGTTCACATCTCGGTTTTGCGCACAAGCTTCAGACTTGGATTGGTGCATGACTTGTAAACTAGTCTGATTTGAGAGCTAAATAATAACATCAGGGGCCCAGGGACTTGGGGTTCATTAACATATTTTGCAAGAGGCAAAAATAATGGTTGTTGCTTTCTTCCCAATCAAAGCCTTTCAGAGCATATTTATCCCTGCTGCAGTTCTGCTGTGAAGTGCTGTGGGGGATGTGTATATTCCTTAGCAGCAGCAGCATCTCCTACATATAGATGGTTTGAGATATTTAAATCATGAAAACAGAGATTATGTAAAATCACAGTTCATGAATCTTA